AAATACCCAAAAAGAAGTTTGTAAAAAATGTTTAGTTCCCTACCAGTGACGCCTTCAATTTGAATCTCTGCAGGCACGCTGACCGAAGCCAATTCAATGCCCGATCCGGAGACTGGAACCCGAGGTTGAATGTTGCCAGGCTGAACCTTGCAGCTGAATGGAGAACCAGGCACTGGCTGACCGTTAAACCTGAAACCGCCAAATATTCACCCACTCGCCCTTTATTGCCAATTTCCAAATCTACCTGACGCTCAGAGTATGGATGGCAGCTTCAGTGGGTTTAAAATTGACTTTGAAGCGCGCATTTCCCTCGCTCTGCACAAAGTTGGGCACATTTCGCCCTCCCACTGCCACAATAATTTCCAGATTTCCAGCTCCAGCTTGCGAAGCATTAATGCTGAATGAGACCGGCTTCCCCACGACTCCGTCCATTATGTCCGTAACAGTGACTCGGCTGGCATCGTAGGCCTTCACCAAGAAAGGACTGCCTTCGATGTGTCCAGATGGGAGGCGGACCTCCACGCTATGATCGCCCACGTCCAGAGGAGTAAAGGCCACTTCGAAGTTGCCGGTTGTTGCCAACTGGGGAGTCACCTGGGGAGAAATGGATGTAAAATTCCCAGTTGGAGAAGATGCTTTGGTTTGCCTACTTGAGTGGGCAACGATCGCCTAGCAGGCCCCAGGACCTCCACGATGGGCGGCGTGGGGCTTTCAACGAGAAAACTGCAAGGTCTGCCAACTGAGACTTTATCCAACGCTTCTGGGGCCAGAATCCGGGCTGCTGGCATGACACTGCACTTGAAGGGACTCCCCGGCACATCCTGCCCATTAAAGCGAAGATCAACTGAATGTACCGCCGGTTCTCGAGGAGTGAAGGAAATTGCGTAAGTGTGCGGGCCTTGAGCTTGCGCTGAAGTTGGCACCAACCCCCCATTCACTGTCACCTCGAGGTTTCCTGGTCCAGCTTGGCTGGTTTCCACTACACATCCCTACTAGTTAAGCGACAGCCTTTCAGACGTCCTACGGACTTACCTAAGAAGGTCACCGCCTTGCCAACGACTCCACTAGCAGATTCCTTGACTTTAATGGCTTGGACGTCGTAAACCTTGGCAGCGTAGGGGCTTCCGACTGTGGGAACCCCACAAACCGACACATTAATTCGATGCTCGCCAACCACTCGTGGGACGAATTCGGCTTGGTACTGGCCGTTGCCTAGAGGTTGCACTTGGGTGGGCACCGCCTGTCCACCTGGACCTGATTCAGGCACACGTTTGATGCTTTGGGCGGCGACAGGAAAGGGAAGGGAAATGCAAGGGTTAAGCGTCTAGAGGATAAGCTTAATAAGCAATTGGAGGGTTTCAGGTTAAGGCTTTAAAAATGCTTGTTTGGCATGCTAAAGCAAACTTTAGAAAAATTTGAGTGTGTTGTTGTAAAGCCTTTATATCAATAACGTGTTTTTCCAATCTAGATGTTGTGAAGGCGACAACTTTTGGTATTCTACAGCTTCTAGCGTAAACCCAAGTAGAACCGATCAAGATGTTTCATGGAAAGGGCCAGTGTATTGTCGATTAAAAAAATACATAAAATTGACTCGAAAAAAGCTCTGAATTTGCCAAACAAGGCACGTTTGGAGTCATTTCGCGTATACCGGCAGTAGATGCAAACTTTTTCATTATAAATGGACCACCCTGTATATTAGCACTTGCCAAGAATGTGCGATAAAGGCTTGTTGATTGGTGTTTTATATATGAGCAATACGCGTGCTTAAGAGACCTGGGAATATGAGTTTTCTTCTACAACTAGTGTGATATATCTTTAAAATGTTGCGTAGAAATTGTAAATACTGGGCGTTCGGACAAAATGAAAATGTTTACATCAAATTTCATTGTTTCACGAATTACTCTTGTATCAGACAAATCGTCTTATGCATTTCAACACTACCAACGGGATAAAAAGTTGCTGAACGCAAAACCATGAAACTACCTTGTAGACGCAATGCATTCAATGTAAGTATTTGATTTAATTCAACCGCAAAAGCATATAAATCAGCTGGATTTTGTGGAACGATGATATAGGTGAAGAGCACCCCCATCTACCCCAAGAAGACATTTTAAAAAAATTATTTTAAATAATGTAAAAGCGTTGAACAAACATTCTTAAACCAATGTTAATGTTAGAGTAATTTCGAAGGGAAAGGTAAGGAAGGTGTTAGTAACAAAACGATGTCGGTTAGCGGCAAGTAAAATGGAAGGCAGGATTATCTAATAAACGTATCGACGGTGTCCTGAAAACGAAAGAAAGAAATGTGCAAGACAGTGATACGAACAAGGAAAACAAACAACCAAAAAATAAGGAAATAGGCATAATTTATTTGCTTTCTACAGATAGGGTAAATTGTCCGGTAAATTAAATCAAATCTTACATACAACACATTGCGCATTACATTCCTGAAAAAAACATTTTAACAATACCAACCTGATCCAAATAATAGCAGAGCAATAAGAAACAAAATCAAGCGAGATAAGCATGCTACCGAGCCACCAAAAAAACGAAATCAAGCCCCGGCTGTGGCGTTGGTTGATCAGCAGCCCACCCGGTTGCATGCAGCACTGCAAGGCAAAGCATGCGAACCCCAGAAAAGTGAATCGCTCACCCTCCACATTGACTTCGATATCTTCCAGGCGTCCAGGATGGTTCACCAACAAGGTGCTGGGCCTGTGGACGGGTCCAGGACCGGGCAAGGTCACGCTGGGCCCAGTCCCACTCCCACCCACCGAAACAATCAACGGACAACCCACGACCTATCAAAAACGCCACTTAGTGCAACCGAAGGGAAAATGTGCGTTCACCACACTCCAAACGATGGTAGTTCGGTGAATTTTGTTCAAACAGTACTTTAAAGGGCCATGTTGAGTAAAGCCTGTGTCCCATGCATCCATTTATACGATGGTACGATGATACGAAAGTATTTGGACGTAGAAACAGTTTCGTATCATCGTACCATCGTATAAACGAATGCATGGGACACAAGCTTTACACCTAATTCATCAAATGGAGCATGGCAATGTGGAGTTTTGCTCAAGGACGCTCTCCCATATGTCGGCACACTCGATTGATCAGTCTGTAGCTACCTTGGCAACAAGCAACCATCAAGGTGGTAACCACGGACGTTCCAAATCAAGTTCGTATTGTCACATTGACAGTTGTCTCTTGGTGCTGGTTGAACGAAGCTGTGACAAACTGTCAGTGTGACAATAGGAGATCTGTTATATTCAGGAGATTGTGGTTTATAGGAGCAGCCGTGGAGAGAGCGTCTGTTCGTGTGCAAAAATCATCCGTATAGCAACTAACCGGTCGTTTATTAAAGGCCACATTGACGACGTGGTCGCAGGCCTCCGCAGGCACGAAACTGACTGCAAAACGCGCATTTCCCTGCGGATGCACTTGAGTGGGAATGTTCAGCCCCCTGGCCGATATTGTGATTTCCAAATTACCCTCGCCCGCCTCGCTGGCGTCCACAGAAAAGGTCACAGGTCGGCCTACGGTGCCGCGCGCCACTGTGCCCACTGTCACCTGTCAAACATTATTGGTGAGATCCTTGACGACCATGAGGGGCAACAGCCACCCTCCGAGTGCAAACATTCAACGAAGAATATTCACCTTATTGGAATCGAACGCCTTGGCAACAAAGGGGGTGCCCTGGACTGGCCTCCCGTTGTACTCCACGCTGATTTGGTGGCCGCCCACTTGCACCGGAGTGAATTCGGCCGTGAATCCCGAATGGATATCGCCTGTCACTTTGACAGGGAGTTCCCCAATGGGGCCTCTGACGGCCACCGCCAGTTCGGCGGCTCCTCCCCCAGCCACACCCATGTGGAAG